AATGGTATAGGAAACAGAGAACTCAAAGAACTTATATGTACAGACCATGGACATGAGCTACAGGGTGGGGGTGGAATGTTGGAGGGTTGCGGGGTGCAGAGTGAGGGGGGCATAAAGGGGGAAAAATCGGGAGAACTGTAGTAGCATAATCAATAAAATATACTTAAAAATAAAAAAAGCTTCTTAAAAAAGATCTTAAAGCTAATGATTTCTCTTGGGTGATCTCTTCTAGACAAAAATAGAATTGTAAAATAGGGGAAAATGTGTATTCTTTATTATCCAAAGTCAAACTGGTCATCCTTAAAAAAAAATAAAGTACAAAGAAGTAGTGAACAAAAAGGAGTTCCTTTTGAGAAGTACAGCAATAATCATGTTATTTCACCAAACTAGCCACTATTTATGAAAGATGGACAAGAAATAAGACTCTTACAAGTGGAGAAAAAGAATGTGAGCTGACAAGAAAGAAGAGCACCTATGCAATGTTAGATGGAGGAGAATTAGTGAGAGTAAGCGATAGGAACATGGCCCAGTATGAGAGAAAATAACGTTTACAACAACAGTAGTAAAACTGAGGAAAGTGGTGAAATGGTTTAAGACCAGGGAAGGGTGATATGTGGGATTTGGAATAACAATAGTATGAAAAAAAAGGAACTGAATAAAGCAAAGACTAAGAGTAGTTAGTTATTAAAGACTAAGAGTAGTTAGTTATTTGGAATATGAGTGAAGTGAAAGAAGAAAAATTAAAATGCAATATGAAAGGGAGAATAAAAAATAAACAATAAAAACCAATAAATAACCACAAAAAGTTAATAAACAAAAAGAAGAAAAAAGAGGAATAAAACAACATGCAAATTCTGATGAAGAGCAAGGTGAAATTTGTCTCAGCTCTTAGTGTTTGCCTCCTGACTTCTTTCTGGAACTCTCTCTGGTTTTATCTTAGCTCCAGGTCTTACTGTATTACACTTTAAAAAGAAAAAAAAAGCTTCCTGCTGATTGTTTAGCCTGCCTAGCCAGTTTTGCAGATCTTCCTGGTTCTTGCAGGCTGTAGGTGGCTGGGCTCTGTTTTTCCTTTCACCTGGTTCCATAAGGATGGGGGAACAGTCTGGGCTACAATAATCACAGGTGCCCAGTGTTCGGCCCATGCCCTCAGAACACAGGCAGCCCCCCTTCTCCATTCTGCACAATTGTGCCAGTCTCACACCGATAAACCCCCTCGCTTTGCACCCCTTTGATCAATCTGTGCGGGGCACCGAGTAGTAGTAAATTGCACCAACACTCCTACTCTTTTGGCCTTGCTGCTGTGCATGTGAGGTCCCTTCACCTTGTGCCTCAGGTCCCCATTTGAAAAAAATCTCTTTGGGCATAACTGCTGCCCTGAGCCACTGCCTGGCTTTCTATGCACTCCACCTCTTTGAAAAGTCCAGAGTTTATCTGCGTCATGGCCAGTTGCAGCCCATCTCCTCTCCCAACCTCAGGTGCCACCAGGATCGCTTAAATTCTCTGGCACTGTCCCAGCTAGTGACTGCTGCCACAGCCTGGGTACGTTGCTGTCTGTGTGTGCCTTGTTGCTTTCACCCCCTCCCCACGACTTTAGGGTTCCATGTCTTCCCTGGTGTGGGTCTGAGATTCCCCTTCTTGGGAGGGGAGGGAGCCCCTAAGCTGCTATTACTGACTTGGCTTTCCTCCAGTGTCCCTGCAGCAGTCCTGGTCTCTGGTGTCAAGTCCAGCGACCTTTCCCTTAGGCCAATAAAACCTCCTTACCACCCATTTTGAAGTGTCCTCCGCACAATTTGGCTTCCCAACTTCATATCAGGTACGATTATGTTTGCTGTTCACTGTTTTTTTGGAAGATTGGCTAAGTGTCCCAGTTGGGTGCATGAGCAAGTGGGCTCAGCTGTCACTGACATTGCCATCATCTCTCTCTCTCTTGCTGCTTTGAAGGTTCTTTCTTAGACTTTAACTTTTGAAAATTTAATTATAAGTCTTGTATGTGAATCTTTTTAGATTCATCATATTTGGTACTCTTTAGGTTGCCTAGATCTAGATGTCTGTCCCCTGATGTGCCTGCCCTATCTCAGGTGAGGGAACTTTTCAGCCATTATTTCTTAGTAAAAGCTTTTACCCCTTCGTCACTCTTCTTCTGGGACCCCTTTAGAACATATATTGTTTCATTTGGTGTCCTGTAAGGGCCTTATGCTATCTCCACTATTTTTCAGGTGTTTTTTTTTTTCTTTCATTTTTCTTCTCTGGTTGGATTTCACTGCCCTATCTTCTAATTTGCTGATTTTTTTGTTGTTGTTGCACTTGATCTAGGATGCTCTTGAACTACTCTTTTAAACTTTTCAGTTCAGTTATTTATTTTTCACCTCTGTCCTTTTTCCTTGGTACTTTTTTAGTATTTTCTGTTTGTTGAAATTCTCACTTTGTTCAAGCATTGCTTTCCTGGCATTGTTGACACTTTTATGAGCATTATTTTTAACTATCATATAAATCACTTATTTCCGTTTGATTATCAGTTTCTGGAGATTTGTCTTTTTTTTATTTAGAGGATATTGTCTTTCTTCGTTTTTCTTGACTTCCTGTGTTGATTTTTCTTGCACATTAACTAACAGAGCTATTTAATCTTTACTGACTAGTCTTGTATAGGGGAGGAATCTTGTCAATCAGCCCAGCCTGAGCTCTTGTTTGCCTCTGAATCCTGTCTTCCAATTCCTGCCTCTCAGTAGTTGAGGGTGTGAGAAGACCCATCAGTGTCCCCAGGGGAATGATTGCTGTCAGCACCTAAATGCAGGCTGATTAGAAGCTGGTCAACAACTCAGGCAACAACTGGGAAAACTTGCAACTGCCTGCTTCTTCTGCACTGAACATGGGTATATAGCTGTGGGTGGGGGCTTCTTAGCCTGTTTAAAAAAACTGCTTGTGTGTTTATGATAGTCTTGAGGGATTCATGAAATCCTGGTTGAAATTCACAGCCAGGTGATCAGGGGCCCATCCCTCAGGCAGTAGCTGTAAAAGTTAGAGCTTTAGGAATGTGAAGAAAGTCCTTGCAGATAGATGCTAGTGACCTGTTATTATTGTATGTTAGCTGGAGGGAGAAAGTTGGTTGGTGATGTGCCCACTGGTTGTTTTGGGTTCCAGGTAGGATCACAGTCAGCCCCTAGAAGTGTGATCATTAGTGTCTGGACCCTCAGGTAGTATCTTGTAAAGTATGCAGTTAAGTCCTTTCCAGGGAAAGACTGTGTGATGGATGGTTTTTGCTTACTCCTTATGCTGTGGTTAGTACTCCAGTACCAATAACTTCTTTGTTTCCTATAGTTCTGTGGGACCAATGTTACTTGCCTTCAAAAGTACTTGTTTTTGGGTCCTATCCCTCAGGTGGGAACTTTAAAAAGTGGGGCATTGATTGTGCTGTTGAAACCCCTCAGTTTTCAGAGAGAAGTTGGGAGTTTGGGATTCCCACCTAATTGGATGGGACTGAGCTTGGAGTGAGATTTATGACAAGAGTTTGTCTCTTTTTTTCTACCAGTTTTGATGTGGGTATTTTCTCTTTCCTAATATGCAGGAATTATTCAACTAATTTATGGATTTTTCTCAGACAAAAGTTTCATGCGTAGCTCTACATTCAGTGTGTCCATGGGAGGAGTAAAATGGCCTTCTATGTTGCCATTTTGGTCAATAACAAAACAAAATAGAAAAAATCTTCTTTTGTTTCTTTATTAATTTACTTTTTATGAATTATTTGTTTTTAAAAAATAATTATTTTTATATCATGATTACATTCATGCAATAAATGTTATTGGATTCTATTCTAGATGCTGGGGATACAATATTGAACTGAATAGAAAAGAAATCCTAGGAATATACATTTTAGTAGGGAGCAGACAAAATAAATCAATAAAAACTGTATTATATATCTTACAGTGATTAGGGCTGACGCTATAAGGTGAAGGTGATTAAGAGTGCAGAGTGAGACTGCTCTTTTATAAAAGTTCTTTAGGGAAGGTCCTTGTGGTAAGAAGTCATTTGAGTGCTGACTTAGAGGATGCAAGGGAGTCAGTTATGTGCATATATAAAATAAAATAGAAGGAGAGTATTCCAGGTGGCTGGAGAAGTGAGGAAAGACCTTGAGACACTTCTTTTGTGATCTTTATAAATCTTAGTATGTGGGAATTTCACCCAATAGTTAATGGGTATGGAAGACTTTTCATCTGGCTACTCTCTGATTGACACATGCGGCTTGGAAACAGATTCACATAGCTCCTAATATAACCTTTATTATTCAACAGTCAGCACTGGGGTTGAGAGACCAGGCTAAAATATTTGTGTTCTTGATTTTTGCTGATGGTAAAAAAAATGATACCTTTAGTGTATCTTTGTAATCTAAAAAGCACTGTTAAAGGATGTAATCATTTTATTCATGTTCAAATTTTTAATCATTGTTTATATATTTTTTGTATAGTTGAGATAATGTACAAACAGAACCTAGGGAGACACTGTTTCATTTTTCTTTGTACATTGTTTTGTATAGAAAAGGCAGAGCAAATACGTATTGGAGAATGAAAGTTAAGTGAGTGAAATAGGCTGAGGCATAAAGGAGTAAATGGTGAAGACTGTGGCAAATTGGAGAATTTATGCCTTGTGTAAAGGGAAGAGCTGTTTGTTAACTCTAATTGTTGCCATGTGAGAATGTGGGCCTAATTTTTAACTTATTTTCTGATTTTTCAAGAAAAGTAAGAAATTTGTGTTTTTATGCTCTCTTCAGATTTTTAAATGTTATAAACTAAATAAAAACATTTCGAAACACTCCTCAGTTCAGATAAAACATTCCATGCAGGTATCTGTCCCATAAGTCACCAGTTAGCAACATTCTGGAGTATAATACCATAATTGTAAAGGTAACAATATCCTGCAAGATTTCTGAATATAAATGGTTTTAAACACACTGTTGTTCTACTACTCTTCTTGCAGGGTGCTGAATGTGTCTCTTCTCATTGTTTTAGGCTATGGTCAGACAGGTCCACTGTCTCAGAGAGCTGGTTATGATGCTGTGGCCTCCGCTGTTTCTGGTATGATGCATATCACAGGGCCTGAGGTAGGCATCCTTCTTCAGACTTCTCACAATTTTTTCCACCAGGTATTCCAAAGGGACTTTCATCTTTATTAACTATGCTTATTAACTAGGCCTAAGGTTGAGTTAGTTTTAGAAAGAATCCAGGGAAAGTGAATGACTTATTAAAAATGTCAATGTGGCCTAAATGTCAATATGGCCTCATAGAAAATAACACACTTTTTAACAAGAAGCAATAGAGTAGTAAACACATTTTCTATATGTCTTATGTTATTCAAGCTTAACATAAACACTGTCACATGATTTAGGAATTTTGTTTCTGTGAAGTAGAATGGCTGACTAGACTAGCCCACAGACGTCCATTTCTACCAGAGTGCCTTTATTTGGCATGTGTACATACTGGAGGGTTTCTTTTTCTCTCTGGAATAATATAGGTGATTATGTATTTTAAAATTTATTACAAATGTCTTATGTATAGCTGTGTCTGCTTGTTTTATGCATTAGATTCTGCCAGTGAAAGAATTATTTCATTTTATAATAATCCCTCTCCATTGAAGATAGATTGGGAAGTTCCTGAAAAGTATATAGGTGGCCAGAATGTACTGGGTTAGACTAGACTGTTAGAAAATGCACACTTGGGGAAAACAATAAGAAAGTAATTACATAAAGTAAAAAAAAAAATGTGTGTGAAAGTGCAGTAAATAAAAACACTAAAAGATATCCATTTCCAAAACAAATGTGATTGGTAGTTTTAAAAAACTCTTTGCAGTAGGTGTTTCTTCCCTCAATCACTTTCTTCAGTTAATTCTTCAGGAAATATTGCTGCAGTGTTAGGATAAATAGGCAGAGTGACTTCAAGTTTTCTATCAGTCTGTATGTCCTTCTGTTAATTTTAAAGTAGGCATGGTGATTTTAGTGACTTGAAATATAAGTTCTTTTGATCTCTCTTTCTTTATTTTCACAAGTCTTAGAAAAAAATGTGTGTCGCCTTTCCTGAAAATATTCAATGGTACTGTTTTTTTCTGTCCATTGAGAGAATGGAGTATGGATATATTTCCCACTTCTTAATTCATTGACTGAATGAATGGTTATTGCACATATTCTTTCTGTGTTCTGGGAAATGTTACAGGAATTGGGGATTAAGCAGACGATGGTGCAGGCACGGTCCGTAAATGGGGAAAACAAGCATTAATAGAAAATAAACATTAAGTTCAAATAAAAAGAGCTTTGAGAAAGAGTACAGGGTACTATAATATATACATATAACTGTGTTTACTAGCTACCTAAAATAGCCTCTCATCTTTTAAAAAACACAGTTGGTAGTATACTTTCTCAATTTTTTAAATCCCATAAAAGTGAGGTATAATTTACATGCAGTAAAGTGAAAAATCTTACGAGTATGGTTCAATGATGTTTTACAAATCTGTACACCTGGTTAAACATCACCAGTTGAAGACATAACATATTTCTATCACCCCCAAAAGTTCCTTTATACCCCTTCCCCAGCAATATTATCTCCTGTTAGATATAACTACTGCTTTGTAGTATTTTGACTTCTACTACTATAGACTAGTTTTTCCTATTGTTGAACTTCTATAAATAGGATTTTATAATATGTGTTTTTTTAAAGTGTTTTTTTTTAAGATTTTTAAATTTATTTTTAGAGAGGGAAGGGAGGGAGATAGAGAGAGAGAGAGAGAGACATCAATGTGCGGTTGCTGGGGGTTATAGCCTGCAACCCAGGCATGTACCCTGGCTGGGAATCGAACCTGTGACACTTTGGTTCGCAGCCTGTGCTCAATCCACTGAGCTACGCCAGCCAGGGCTAATATGTGCTTTTTAAAAAAAGGTTTTATGTATTTTTAGAGAGGAGAAGGGAGGGGGAGAGAGAGCTAGAGAGACATTGATGTGAGAGAGAAACATTGATTGGCTGCCTCTTGTATGCTCCTTAACTGAGGACTGAACCCGCAACCTATACATGTGTCTTGACCAGGAATAGAACTGGTGACCCTTTACTTTTCAAAATGTCACCCAACCAACTGAGCCACACCAGTTGGGGTATAGTATATACATGTTTATGTGTGACTTCTTTTACTCAGTACAATGTTTTTGAGACTCATTCAATTATTGTGCATGTCAGTGGTATGTTTAATTGCTCTATATTGTTCCATTGTATGAATATATTACAATTTATTTATTATTCTGTTAATCAACATTTGAGCTATTTCCAATTTTTGTCTTTATGAACAACATGCCTGTGAACATTTTTTTTGAATGGCTTTTGTTGGACATAGACATTCATTTCTCTTGAGTGGAGCAGATGAGTCACAGGTTAGATGTCTATTTAGCTTTAGCACGCTTCCAATTTTCCAAAAGAGTACCAGTTTATACTCTACCAGCAATGTATGGATATTTTAATTATCTTCACTGATTCTTGACAATGCTAGTCTTTTTAATTTTAGTCATTTTGGTTTGTTTATAGTAGTATTTCATTGTGATTTGAACTTGCATAACCTTGGTGAGTAATAATGTGCATGTTCTCACTTAGTGGCCATTGTGAATATCTTTTGGAATTATATGTTTGACTCTTTTTAATTTTTAAATATAATTGGAATGTTAGTCTTTTTCTCATTGATTTCTTTCTATCAGATATATATGTCAGATATATGCAATGCTAATATTTTCTCCCAATCTATGGCTTGCATTTTTACTATGCTGTTTTCTGTTTATTTTTCTAAAATTTTTTTCAATTCAATTGACATTATTATTTTATATTGGTTTCAAGTGTATGGAATAGTGGTTAGACATTTATATATGTGTAATTTATGAAGTGAGCCCCCAGTCAGTTTAGTACCCACCTGGCATCATACCTAGTTGTTACAACATTATTGACTATATTCCCTATGCTGTACTTTACATCCTTGTCACTATTTTGGAACTACCAATTCTACTTCTTAATACTGTCAACTTTTTTTACCCAGTCCCCCAACTCCCTCCCATCTGTCAATCATCAATTTTGTTCTTTGTGTCTTTGAATTTGTTTCTTTTTTGTTTGTTCATTTATTTTGTTTTTTTTTTTCCTTTAGAGTTCACATATAAGTGAAATAATGTGATATTTATCTTTCTCTGACTGGCTTATTTCACTTAGCCTAATACCCTCTAAGTGCATCTATGCTATCACAAATGGTAAGATTTCATTCTTTTTAATAGCCAAGTAATATTCCACTGAATATATGTACCACAACTTTTTTTATTCACTCATGATGGGCACTTGGATTGCTTTCATATCTTGGCTATTGTAAATAATGTTGCAGTGGTGTGTAACATAGTGTTGCATGTGTTCTTTCAAATTTGTGTTCTGGTTTCTTCAGATATATAACCAGAAATGAATCATTGTGTCATTAGGCAGTTCCATTTTTAAGTTTTTGAGGACCCTTCATACTGTTTTCCATAGTGGATACACCAGTCTGATTTTCCACCTACAGTGCACAAGGGTTCTCTTCTCTCCATATCTGCACCAGCACTTGCTATTTGTGGATTTATTGATGGTAGCCATTCTGACAGGTGTAAGGTGATATCTCATATTGGTTTTAATTTGCATTTCTTTGATGACTAGTGACACTGAGCATCTTTTCATATGTCTATTGGCCATCTGTATGTTCTCTTTTAAGAAGTGTTTATTCAGATCCTCTGCTCATTTTTTAATTGTTTTTTTTTTATATTGAGTTGTCTGAATTCTTTATAAATTTTTGATAGGAACCTCTTACCAGATGTATCATGGACAAATATGTTCTCCTAGGGAATGAGGATTCTTAATGGTCAGTAGTCCTTGGTATAGAGGCTATTATTGTTATAATTTTTCTAAACTGTCCAGTTAATACCATCAGAATTGGAAGAAATTATTTTTATTTAGCATTTTACTTAACTAAGTTATTATTTTTTTAAGATTTTATTTATTTATTTTTTAGAGAGGGAAGGGAGGGAGAAAGAGAGAGAGAGACAAACATCAATGTGCGGTTGCTGGGGGCCATGGCCTGCAACCCAGGCATGTACCCTGACTGGGAATCGAACCTTCAACACTTTGGTTTGTGGCTCACCCTCAATCCATTGAGCTATGCCAGCCAGGCTTAAGTTATTTTTTATATTGATTCTTTGAATACTATCAATATCATTTTGAGCTGAGTCCACTTTTGTTCCACATTAGTGAGCAAGAATATTATTATAGTTCATATATAGCTCACTGGTGTGCTGGAACTGTATATTGAGATGGTTTATAAATACCAAAAATGCCAGAGAAATGTCAACAAATTGGAAACAATCCAAAGAAATTTTTTTAAAAATTCTTTTTTTAAACTGAAACCAGGAGGAAAGACTGAAGTAAGTATGATTTACTGAAATGTTGTAGTACAAAAAAGGGACATGTAAATATACATCGGTACAAATATAGAACTGGAGTATAGCTTGGGATAATTTTTTTTAAATATCCAGATTACGCATGGACAATATTTATTTTCTTCAAATTCCTCTCATTTGGAGGATGCTTATTGGTTATTATACCTTCTGCAAACTCTAGGGCAGGGACAGTGTCACAGGCCTATCACTCTCCATCCCCACATCTAACCTATGGTTTTACAATCTTATGCCAACTCTTAGTCCACTTCTGAAATCTGCACATAAAAGCCCTGTTTCTTACTCATAGCTTCGATCATCCTGGGCTTGTTTCTCCTTTGCTGTATTATCTGGGAAGTTTAACCCTCAGTGTTTTCTTAAGTCCAGTTCCTGTCATTATCTTAAGCAGTTTAGCATCTTCATTGATGACTTATTTAATCCCTTCATTGAATGGTCTTGGGAATCACAAAACCAGAGTCTGAGCTTCATTTTGTCATTCAGTATAACATTAGATAATTTGTTTGACTTCAATTTTCCCCTTTGTAAAATAGGAAAAATATTTTTTAAAAGGTAGTTGTAAAGTTGTAAACTGATGGTAGAAGCATCACCTGAATTATATGAAAAACTATGCCATG